TATATATATATATATATATATATATATATAACGTACTTCAATACAACCCAAAATACTAAAGAAATACGTAATACAAACTAGAAACACTACTAGAACTGGAAGAAACAGGTACGGACTTTCGTTTCGGTTGGAAAAATCGTTCTAAGCTATTGTTGACTTTTCTAGCCGTTATTGTTGACTTTTATTAGACGAGTGGGACTCAATAACGGCTATATTTTCAATTTTAATTGAATTTTAAGTTCTACCAAACAAGCTCAAGACTAAAGTAGGAATCTTTTTCTTTTAATTTCTCAAGCTATTAAATTGATTAAGTTTATAACTAAACTATAGACATGTAAGTGTGATTTTACACTTACTTGAACGGTTGAAACACTAAAAGTGAGCATTTTGGAAGAGCTTGAATTTAGATACTTAATTTTAGGATTAATTTAGGAGAAAACCCAGCTTGGGCGCGAACGGATGAAAACAGTGATTTTGATCAATTGGATTGAGGGTCACACAAAATTTGAAAATCGAATATTATGGTGTAGAACTTGTAAGTGGAAGGACCGGTTATGCAATTAATGAGGACTTGAAATGAATTAGCAATTGAAGAGGAGTACTAATTTCCAAGCAAATGAAAGTCATCGCAAGGGCCAAATTGGGGTGTGGTCGTACAGTTTATGCGGGGGCAAATTCCAGATTAATTTGGTTTCTTACTTCTATTCAATTTCTACATATGATATTTGAGACTCATTTGAGCTATTTTAAACTCTTCAATAGTTTGCCTTTATTTTTTATTTTTGGAACACACAATTTTAGAGATAAAAATACGTGCAATTCAAGATCTGAAAGCAAAACCAAGGGTTTTTAAGAATTGGGTGTGGAGTATAAAATTCTTGGTCTAAGATCCTATTCTTTCCTTCATCTTTATTTCAAAATTCAGTGATGAGTTCTATTCTTTATTGGGCCCAAGAACAATTGGCCTAACCTCATTAAAAAAAAAAAGGAAAAAAGTAAAGGGGTGGGCTGACCGGCCAACCCAATTAAAAAAAAAAAAAGTGTTGGGCTAACGGCCCAATCTTATAATAAAACAAAAAACAAAAAAAAAAAAAAAGGA